ATTAAATTGACTTTCTTATATATTATGAGAAAGCATTTTTTTGTTTCCAGTTCTGCAAATGGTCACCTTTAATCCAATCATGTCTTGGTGCTTTTTCTCTTGATATACAGGAAATGTTCATGAACTGAACTCTGAACTTCTGCTTTTAGCCAAAATGGTCGTTCTGAGGTTTGGGAAAGCCAGACTGCTTCTCCCTGTTTCAGGGTAGGTTCCTGAACACAAATGGGATCATTACTCTGTGACCAAAGATCTGAACAAGATGGAGAAAGGGCCTTTTATCCCACGTTGGCCATTTTGTTCAAGGCTGTTCCGTGATTTTTCAACTGGCATTTGGCTGTGAGACTGGCAGCCCCAATTGTGCCACAGAACACACCAGGCAGAAAAATCACGTTTAGTCTTGCCATCTTCCAGCCTGGAAGGGACTCAGGAAGAAGTCACTGCTGACACAGTGGGTGGATGGAATAAAAGAGATTAATTTGGGGCAGGTGAATTTTGTACATGATTTACAAAGGCATGTAGATTTTCATAGGAAAATTTTCATTCCTGGAAAATCAGATGAGGATGGTAGCTCTCTTTGGGGGTTGAAAGGACACATATTCACCTTTAATCCATGTAGAAAAAGGCTACACTTGGGAGTTACTGTAGGGTTCCATCATATTGTAGGGTTGTATAATCCCATGCTTATGTATTTTCTGACAAATCAATGACTTTGGTGCACATGGAGGTGAAAAAGGGTGAAATGGGTCACATTCTTGCTGTCTGGCAGCAAGTAGGTGACTCAGCACCACTCCAATCAATGACATTTTCATTTATGTAAGCCAGCATGAAATGTGTTTTTGTTCATACCAAGCTACATTAAAGCAAAAATGCAAGGAAAAAAGATTGTGTTCAACAAATCAGCTGAATAATAGTGTATGGAAATATTTCTGCTATCATTATTTACAGTGGAAAGTATCTTAGTTGCATTTCATACATTCACTTCCCCTGAGAAGTTTTTTAAAATAATGTATTGCTAGGATCTTTGGAAAATGAACATATTTCCTAATCAAGTACACATCAGTCTTTTATCATTTGTATAAATAATGGGGTATTTTGTACACAAGTAGGCTAATAGTAGCTTTTTGATTTTCAAAAAGTGCTACCCACCTTGGGCCAATTTTACAAATTGATGGAGTATCTTAAAATTTGGAAGAAGGGATGCTCATTTTGAAGTGGAGCCTCTCAAAATCAATGGTGATTTTGAAGATGTTTGATCATAACGTGCATCATTAAACCAACAAGAACTTCAGCTGTAGCTTTTCCCAAAAGTTGCAAGATACAAGTAGGGGCTTTTTGCGTCATTTGGATGGATCAATGCTTGTTTGACAAAATCTGCATCTTTCAAACTCCTGCATAGTTGAGAAACCTGGCTGTCATCAATTCCCTGCCAGGCATGGAAAACTGGGAAAGAAGGGGGCTGCATGGCCTGCCTTACAGGTCAGAAATCAGGAATTCTTGTTTCCATTTTAGCTCTGTTGGTCTATTTCTCAGCTTTTTTGTGTACTACTGGTAACAGTTCCTGAGTTTTGAAGACACTTGGGTCTTAAAGACTGGGCACAGCTGCATTGTCAACTCCTGGGTAAGCAGGAGAGCAGCAGCGTGCCCAGAACTGGTTGTTGTGTTGCTGGAAGAGCTGGGGAAACTGGGCCTGCAGGTTTCACACATGAGAGTCACAGAATGGGTTGGGTTGGAAGGGATGACAGTGGGTCATCTGCTCCAACCTCCCTGCTCAACCAGGGCCATCCCAGGGCACACAGCACAGGATTGTGTCCAGATGGTTCTCAAATATCTCCTGCGAGGGAGACTCCACATCTCTCTGGGATTCCACTGTGCTGATCTCTCTCCTTTGCACATTTACACTTCAGCTTCTCTTTGTCACTGGAAAAATTATTTCTGAAGTAATTTTACAAAGTTTTGTAAAAAATCAGAATCTCTGTTATATCAGAGTGTGTTTTCTTCTAAATCAGTAACATAGATTTGTTGAAATAGTGGCCTGGAAAGGACTTTTTGTCTACTTGCTCTTTTCATTGTGATGTGCATATTAGGTGTACCTTTATTCAAAGTCATGCCTGATCATTCTCTGATGTTTACTAAAATATATAGTGAGGAAGAACTATGTGGATTTTTCTCATTGATATCAAGAAATTCTCCCTCTCATCCAGTTGAAGGCATGAGAGATGTCTACTCTGTTAGACAGTAACTTTATTTGTGCTCATTCTCCTCTGGAAGACACAGGAAACAATTACTACTATCCTTTACAATAACCAAAGTCAGTTAAAATGATTCTGATTTCAACACGTCCTGATATGCTGTATTTTCTTCTGTATGTAGTTTTTATTCCTGTTTTACAGTCTCCTTACCTGAGACATTGTTTCTGTTGGATCAACCAGAATAAAACTGAGTAACTGCATCTCAGGGTATTGCTACTTTACCTGAAAATGGGATTTCCCTTTCCCTACAGCACCGTGGCATTGCTGGCTGCTACTATCCCTCCCAAGTTTATTTTTTCCTTGCTGCTACTGTAGCTAGTTACATCCAGCTGTCCTTTTACCAAGAAGTGATCTTGTGGTTTCCACAGCATGAACTGTCCATTGCTAGTTCATTCCATGTCAGTTGCTGATTGAAGCAGCAATTTTGACACCAGGCAACTGGAGTCAAGGTGATTTGTCACAGGCTTCAGTAGTTAGCAGTGTTGGGTGGCTGCTTCTATGGAACCAATGCAGAAGTCTTCCCAGGCAGGATTCCTGGCAGCAGGTAACACCATGGCAAGTCCTTCCCTCACATGGACTCCAGGTTGCTGACAGCCTCAGAGCTGGGATCTTGTGCACATTCAGCACTGCAAAGCCTGAGTTGAATATAGACAAGGCTTTCACCTTTCACTGTGACCCCGGTGTGAAGTTCAACAAGTTGACTGGATGGCTGACTGGGTTGAGAGTGGAGGAGGAGAGATGCCAGGCTGTGCCCTGGAGCCAGAGGTGTGTGACACTTCCCTTAATCTCATTACAGTCCCAGTTCCTGCTTGCAGCCCAACCTGACCTGTCTCCTGCCAGTGATGAGCTCCTGTCACATCCACACCCTCTTCCCAGGCACAGCAGGCTGAGCAAGCTGGGGCTCTTCAGGCCTCACAGCAAGCTGCCAGAATCCAGGAGGCCTACAGGGAAGCTAGAGAGGGACTCTGTCAGGAACAGCAGTGATAGGACAAGGAGTAATGAGTACAAATAGAAAGGGGAAATTCAGGCTGGATATTAGGAAGAAGTTCTTTACTGTGAGGGTGGTGAGGCACTGGAACACGTTATCTAGGGAGGTTGTGGGTACCCCAGCCCTGGCCAGTGTTCAAGGCCAGGTTGGATGGCAACCTGCTCTGGTGGGACAGGGCAGCAGGCTTGGGACTAGAGGATCTTCAAAGGTCCCTTCTAACCCTTAGTGTTCTATGATTTTGTGATTGGTTCTATGCAAAATTTGCCAGGCACTGCAATCAGGTGGGTTACCTGGTCAAGATGGAGGGGCAGGTGGCATCTGGCAACACTAAACACAAAAAAAAAGTAGAAAAATGGAAAAGGAAAAAAAGGAAATGTGATGTGCTTTAAGAAATGAGCGAGGCAAGATTTTGTACAAAGACAGGAGATGCAGAGAACAAGAGAAGACTCAGATTTGAGACCTAGCAAATGAGAGAGGAACAGGAAGGGTTTTAAACTGCTACTGACAAAGGCCTGGAAGACCAGCAGGCAATAGTCACTGCTTTGGGTCAGTCTTGCTGTGATAGCTGCTCTTCCTGTGCCTGCTGGTGTCTGTAAGGTGCAGTCCTGAGGGTGGAATGCTTTTGTCCTGCCTGTGTGCCCTGCAGCCTGGTCTGCCAAAAAAACCCCCAGAAAAATAAAAAACCCAAATCACAGAATCACAGACTGGGTTAGGTTGGAAGGGATCACAGTGGGTCATCTGCTCCAAGCTCCCTGCTCAACCAGGGCCATCCCAGAGCACACTGAACAGGATTGTGTCCATATGGTAATGTGTCCTCTCTGGGTAATGTGTTCCAGTGTGTGGTCACCCCACAGTAAAGAAGTTCTTCCTCAAATCCTAGCGGAACTTCCTGCAGGTCAGTTTGTGCCCATTGCCTCTTGTCCTGTTGCTTGGCACCACGGAGAAGAGCCTGGCTCCCTCCTCTTGGCCACCCTCTCTTTAGATATTTATACACAAAAGGCAAAGAAGCAGCAACAGCAAGCACCCCAGCACCGAGGACGCAGCCCCTGCTCCCTGGGAGGCAGCAGCATTTCCAGGCACGCTGCTATCTCCTGGGACAGCCTCTACCAGTTGTGATGAGGGGAGACGCAGAAGCTGCTTTCGCAGGGATCTCTCCCTTGGCCTGTGTGGGTGTATCCGTGCCATCTGCGGCCGGCAGAGTTCTAAGTATCTCCCGGTCTGTGCCTGTCCACCACAGAGAGTCACAGAACCTGCTGAGATGGAAGGGACCCAGCAGGATCATCGAGCCCAACTCCTGGCCCTGCGCAGGCCACCCTGAGACTGACACACACCTGAACCTGCGAATAACACTAATGACAACTGGAAAGGGACTGGGCTGTTTCCCGGTGCCGGAGCAGGCCCGGCCGCCCCGGGCTAGGCAAGAGCTCCGCTCCGCTCCCGGCCCGCAGCGACGGTGGCGGCGGCAGCAGCGCACCCGCACCGACCGGCGGGCGCTCGGCTCTGACGTCCCGGCTCGCGGCCTATCCCGGGTCGGTCCCGGTCGGTCCCGGCCTATCCCGGCCTATGCCGGCCTGCTCCGGCGGCCTATCCCGGCCTATCTCGGGGCCCGTCCCGCCTATCCCGGGGCCGTCCCGGCCTATCCTGGGGCTCATCCCGCCTATCCCGGCCTACCCCGGCGTCCTATCCCGGCCTACCTCGGGCCTGTCCCGGCCTATCCTGGGGCTGATCCCGGCCTACCCCGGCGGCCTATCACGGGGCCCGACCCGGTTTATCCCGCCCGCTGCCCCGGCGCTCGCCATGGCGCTGCCCGTCGTTCACAGGTGCCTCCAAGTGAGTGCCGCCCCTGCTCCCGAGAGCCCGGCCCGGAGGGCGCGGCAGGCTCGGCTGGGCCGGGTTTGCCTTCGGGCCGAGCTCAGGCTGAGAGCGCAGCGCGGGGCTCGGCGCTGGCCCAGGGCGTCGGGTGTGCTCAGTACCTTGTAGGCTAAAGCATTACACTTATATATGTTTGTGTATTTATTAATAATATTTTTATATATGTACGTACATATATATACACACATGCACACACATAAATGCTATGTATATGCATACCCTGTAGTTATATATGTTATATATAGAACTATACAGTTCTATGTATTATATACGTATCATATATTGCCTTATACATAGCTTTATATATCATGTATATATATACATATATATTATATACATATATATACGTTATATTATATATTATATATACAGTAATTAATATATATACGCATATAAATGCTATATATATGCATACCCTGTAGCTATATATGTTATATATATAACTATAAATACATAGTTATATGTATTATGTATGTATAATAAATTGCCTTATATATAGCTTTGTTTATTTTATATACAATATATATGTACATATATGTTATATATACATTAATATATATATATATAATTATATCTACAAAATGCATATAGATATATATTGCCTCATATTACTCTATAATTATATAATAATATATAAAATATTATATAATATTATATATATATGACTGCATACTGCTGGGCAAGGTCCAGCAGACATGGATGCAAGAAGTTCAGCCAGCGTGGCTGTCTTTTTGTTTCTGGTGAGGTTAAATAAAAAATAAATACCAGCTTGGTTGCAGAGCTGGTGTTGATAGTTTAGGAGTATAACTTGGGTGCTTTGTCGCTCTGTGATTATTTTTATATGCAAAACCAGTTCCCTACATTCCTTAATGAGTTAATGAATGATGAAGTTACATTAGACACCTTTAATAGATATGTGTTAAAGGAACTTTGTTGTAGTCAAATGTTCATAAAATTTGAAGCTAGTTGTTTTTCCTGCTATTTTCCTTTTAGATGCTTCTATGGTTCAGGAAAAATGTAGTAAAGTTTTTGGAAGAGGGTTTTAATTTGAAGCCTTATCAGCTTAATTAAGATTTGATTTGAAGATGTTCCTTGATTTTTTGTTTTTCCATTCTCTTCCTTTTCAGCTCACTGATGAAAATGAGCAGTTAGTCAAGAAGGTGAAAAAACTACACATAAAAAATAAGGAGCTAGAAAGGAATCTGGGTCAGATCCAAGAACAACTGTATCTGCAGCAGTTAATGCATGGCACAAGCAGAGAGTAAGAATTGTCAAATATTTCTTTTTTGCACGTTTTTTCCTGAAAGTGCAGCATTTCAGGACTTCTGTTTGCATGTCCTTAAGATGAGCTAGGTATTGTCTGCTCTGTGTATTTTGAGGCGCCATCTGTGAACAGGATGGTGGGGTGAAAAATGCTGGGAGTCTGTAGAGGATCAAAGGACATCTGGGGCATCTTGTACAAAATTTATTGTAGTGAAAGAAACAGTTTTCATATCAAAAAGTAATACTCTGTCAAACTACAAAGGCTTTTACACTTTTTTCCACTAAAAAGTAGTAAGATAGAGATAAATTGAGCAGCATCCATGCTGTTTAAAAGATTTAGGACCTATGGACCTGGAAAACTGTAGTGCTAGTGGTTTGGAGGGTATTCTGCCAGGATTTACACACCAGATCACAAAAATCTTCCAAGGCTCAAGTTTTGGTGCGTTTGTGATCCTGCCTGGAAACCTCTACCATAAAATCAAACTGAAAAGTAACTTGGCCTTTTTCAGTTGCTTTGTTCAATTAAATGAAATTGGTGAAATATGATTTTATGAAGCTGTTGTGTTTGTTTCAATTAAGTGTTCAGGTTCAAACAGAAACCCATTTGTGGCCTAAGAGTGGAGACAGCAAGGATCTGGTTCTAGAGAGTGACAGTGTCAGGTGAGTTCTTGGAAACTGCTTCTTCACAGAAATATTCTTCTCTGTAGTGTAGAAAATATTCATGGTTAAGTCACTTGATTTCTTTAAAGCTGTCATGCAAGTGGCTTTCAGCCTTTGAAACAATGGAAAACCCTTCATATTTTAAAAATAATTACAAAATCTTGGGTTAACCTTGAATATAGCACCAGGCAAAGAGCAAACTGGATTTCTTTCTCAAGTAATTCATTGAGAAAAAGTCAATGAGCTAGCAACCTTCTTCATGTGTCTATGTGCACACATATGATCTTTGTAAAGATTTTTTAACCTAGAATTTTGTGGTTTCACTTCTATTTTGTGGAACCTTTCTCAGCTCATTTTATATTGCTCACTCATGTAGGAGAAATTCAGCTTAGTCTTTAAATTGAGTGCTGTACCTGCCTTGTGCTACATTGCACGTAGGTAACCTGACCTAGCTTTTTTCCCTAGCATTTGTTTGTATGTTCTTGCACAAAGCTGTGCTGTGCTACAGTACTGCTCATCCTGCTTGTGGTGTGCAGTCATGACTTATTATGAATGGCACCTCTTACTGTAATTCCTAAAAAAATAGGGAAAATGTTTCCTCATGTCCATCAGCTGAATTGTGGGCCTTGTGTATGTTGGCTATGAAATATAGTGGGAAATTAGTACAGCAGAACACAATGCAAAATAATATCAGAGAGAAAGCTAACAACCCTAATCTGTTTATTTGACATTTATTTTACCCACTCACTTTCACATAGATTTCATTCACTCATATCCTCACACCCACACACTTGGAAGCAATGAGATGTTTTGTGCAACACAGAGAGCTGGGAGCTGCCTCATGTGTCCTTATCATGGGTTCTTGATTGGTGCTGGAAAAACTTTTTAAAATCCTTTAGGAGTGTCCTTTTGCTATTCCTGTTTTGCTAATGGGGGATGAAATGCTCTATGTTACACTCTGCAAAGTCACTGCCAGCCTCCTGTTGCTGCTGTCTTCCCTCAAAGAGTGATTTGCACTGAGGTTTAATCAGTGTGGCCATGTGTGCTGGACAAAAACAATGGGATCCTCAGTCTGGCCGAGTAAAAAGGGTTCTTTGCCATCCATACAGACCATTCTTTTAACTTGCTTTGCTGTTATTTTCTGCTGCTTTCTCTTTCTGTGTTGACAGTCACATTTCATTCACTGCCATCTTGAATATTTCTATTAGGAGTCTCTGCAGCACAGCTACAGGTCAAGTGATCTCTGTGGGTCATCTCTAATACTTTGACCATAAATGATGCCACATTTTGTTGTCTCTCATGTTTCACAGCAGTTTATACATTTCTGTTTTAGACTGCTTCAGATGTATAATGAGCTACAGAAGCGTTATGTTAAAGAAACCAAAACAAACAAGGAGCAAAGTGAAGCCATTAAAAATCTCACTGTAAGTAGAATTTGTTGGAGCTGGTATCAAACAGCCAAACATAAGCTTTTAGGGAGACTGAAAAGTAATTCTTACATTTGTGAAATGGGACCATGCTTTTCTTTTTGTACTTAGTTTCCCATGACAGGGATACTGGAGGGGTAGCCTGTAGTTTGCTTTAGAAGTGAACTCTGTCGTTGGTGTATCTGTAGCACAAAGATGTCTTCCCTTGTTTTTTTCTTTACTCATCCACCAACCCCTCCTTCCAATTGTATATGCACCTTGTGACCTCTTTGCACCAGCCCTGGTGTTTTCCTGCATGTGTCATGAGCTGATTTTTCTCAGAAGTTCAGCAGAAGGCAAACCAGATGAAGACAAAGAGTGTTCTTTTGGATAGCAAGGTCTGTGGCCCTGCTGTGCAAAGAGCCTGGCATCACAACTGGAGTGAAGGTGGGATTGTGTGGTCAGGAGCAGTTCTAGAAGCTTCAAGAGGATATTGCCTCTTCAGGCATGGATTGAGCATTCCAGCTCACCAGTATAATTTCTTCATCTGTGCTTTGCTTTTTTTTCCTTTCGGACTCTTTGGGTGAATGTAGTTTTTAAATCAGCAATTGAAGGCTCTAGGTTTGCATTTGGGAAATGTTTCCATTTGTATTCAGTTGAACTGTGCTTTTTCTATGCATTTAAAAAAGATTTTCTTGACAGATTAAAATTAATGAGCTAGAGCATAATCTTCAAGAGCAGAGGCAAAGAATTGAGCAACTGGAATGTAAAAAGGTTTCTTGGAAAACTAGTGCTGTTTCTAGAAAACGCAGTCAAACCCCAGAGGGAGGAGTAGCTTCTCACAAGGACATTTCTGCAGAGAAGGAAGCCTGTTGCAGTAGATATTTAGGTAATGGTACTGTTTATTTTGATGATGTTCCTTCCAGTATGCCCAGCAGAGAGAATGCATTTTATTTCTCCAGAAACAGCCACTCCAGGCTATTTCTTCTCCTTCAACCAGCAGTATTTAAAATGTTTTTTTTCATTTTTGAAAACTGGTTGTATAAAAATAGCATTTTATAATCTAGGATTCCTCCTTGCATTTGTTTGTGATAAAATGTTTGCTGTTTTCTCTTTTTCTGAAACGGATCTGTTGTTGTAGTCAGAGGTGGGAGTGCTGGCTGTGTTTAGTGCTGGTATTTATTCTAGTAAGATGTATCTGTGCAGATCTCTTAGTAATAGTGTTTGCTGCACCAGCTTTGGTTTTCACACACTGGTCACAGAATAACCTGGTTTTAGCCTTAAAACATTGGACAAGCCTGGACAGTGCTGGTTTCAGTACCTTCTTCCTCTCATAAGTAAATACAGAATTTAAGGTGTGATCCTCTTCCACTTCAAAGCATAGAAAAGAGATGGATGAGATCATATAATGTAGGCATATTTTTCAGCATATGTATAACAGCAAGGGCTGATGTGACCCTCTCATGAGCCAGAAAAAGATAATCAAAGCATGTGATGTGTGTTTTGTGGATTGTAAAATTATTTTTAAAATAATCCCACACCTAAGAATCTGGCAGATCCAGATTATCCAACTGGCAGATCCTGATATCTTTCACAGGGATATGCAGGGCCAGTTCTTAAGAATAAATCACTGTATGAAAAAGGTAGTTAAGAAGCTGAACTATAATTTTCTAATATCACAAAAGGTAGGCAGCTCTTTAGCTGTAATATGATTCATATGAGGGGGAGGTTGACTGTAATGGTTGAACTCTACATTTTTTCATTTGAATATAGAGCTATTGTTGAAGGAGATTAAAAAGCTGAAGAAAGAAAATGGAAGGTTGTCTGCAGAAAAGAGAGCACTAAAAAATGAATTAGCTGGATTAGACAAGGTAATTTATTTTAAGACAAGCTTAACAGTAGGTGATTTTGAAAAACTAAACTTTTCTGCCTGAGCTGAAACTTCTTTAGGCTGAACATATGTTGCTATCAAGTAGAATAGATAAAGAAACCAGTGTATGGCATTCTGAGGGAGATGGAAATGAGTGACTCCTTGAAACATTCATGTCCTGAAGGGCCACTCAGCTAAGGAAGACTATTTTCTCTTGAACTTAAGCATGTCAAAGTTATGCCTCTGACAGAACTCCAAGTTTAGGGAGGGCAGAGGCTTTGAATTTTTTGTTAGATCTATAGGTGTAAAAATTGTGTGAACATTTGGTAATTTTTTAAGTTATGTAACAAGATGCTGAGCTCTTACCCAACTATAGAAGACTCAGTTTAATGCAGTTTAATGCATAAGGTTTTATTTTCAGCAGCAAATTGTTTAAGCTGATTTTTGCTTGTTCCTCAAGTCTTTTTGTTTTTTTGTTGTGGATTTTTTTTAAAAAATAATCTCTTTTCTTACCTTGCAGTCCTTTCTCCCAAACTAAATAACATTATGGTATTAATTGCAGGGGTAACTGTAAAAGAGGGTGGTAATTCATTGGATGTGTAACTTGCAGAGCATTAAGCAGGGTGAGTTCTAGATCCCTGTGTTTGGGAATCAGGGACAAGGTGTGGCTGAGAGCTTCATCTGGCAAGAGAGATACATAAACTTCAGGTTGTGGTCCCTTTTTAAGGTAGTTTTAAGTTGCTGTGTGTCATATGTATGTAGCTGTTCTTTAAAGATGCTGGAAGAATAGGGAGGAGAATGTCAAATATAGATGGTTACACATTGTTATTTTGGTAGATAGAACATTCAAGGATTGGTGAATTGAAGTCTTGGGTGATTATATTCTTCTGTCCACTTATTTCCCAACAATTTCTGACTTACAAAGAATCAGAATGTGTCATTATTCCCTTGTCATATTGGACTGTCATTTTGTAGCTGTCTGGTAAATCCATATTTTTTCCTTTTTAAAACTGATTTTTCCTATTACTAGTCTGTGTTCTAGCCTCTAACATAACTTGAACTCTGCTTGTGTGTTCAGGGCAGAAATTATTAAAGTATTACCTAAGGTTATAGTTGATTGCTGTGTCTCACCATAGCTGTGTTTGCATAACTCAGCCATACACTGGTAAAATCACAGAAAGTGTCTTGGAATAACTCACCTCCTGACTAGCTCTTACTGAGAATGTCTTTGAAAAAAGAGTTTAAGGTGAATATTTCTGGGTTTTTCTAGGATTTTTTTGAAGAGGTAGAAGATCTAAAACATGCTGTACAGGAATCTGTGAAACTCAACAATGAGTATGAAAAGTGCTTGAAACAAATCAGTGTAATGTATGGACTTCCTTTTACTGCACATTTGTAACTACTGGGTAATTTAATGCCAGCTAGAGTTTCTACATATTTTTTATAATTACTGCAACATTTAAACCTACCATTGCTTAAGTGGTACCATAGTTTGATAATATAGATTCAGCAATGTGATCTCATTATGACAAGTGCTTGGAAATGTTGTATTTCGTGACCTAGATTTTGTTTGTTTGTGTATATATTTAAATAAATTCTGATCTGCATAAATTCAACTAAGTTTCAAACCCATCTCTTTCCCACTTGCAGAATATATTCTGGTTATGGGTGTGTATGGGAATAAAATGAAATTGTTTTATTTTTCAGATTTTCCCAATTTATCCTTTTCTGTAAGCTACATAAAATCAAACTGTGTAGATTTGTCAGTCTGCGTGAATTTCAACACTAAGGATGTGCTAATGCAAACAGAAATTATTATATCATTAAATTATTGCAGAGGGATTTCTTAGAAGAAAAATGCTACATCTCTGCTTGGAATTTTTCTTCAATCCCAATAATAAGTGAAAAATTGTGGATGAAGGAAGGATTTTGCGTTCAGAATTGGAAAGTGTATTCAGAGCATTTTGCATCATCAAAAGAATAATTCCTCAGAAGCTCTTTTTTGATTCAAGAGCTTGAAGAACTCTGGTATTTGAAGAGCTGAAAAGGAAAGTGGGAGTGCAGAAAGTTACAGTCCATGAGGCAGAAATGTCATGTTGCTTCAGAGAGGGTGAGCCGGGAATGGAAGGAGACAGCTCCCAGTTACAGGTGTAGCTTGCAGAACCTTGGGAGATTTGAATCTCAGCCTGTTGGTAATGACATGGCACAAAAGTTTAACATAGTTACATTGCAGAACTATGTTTTTCTGAAAGGTGCAGATCTCTACCTTTGTGACATTGTGGTGGTAGAGCAGTGAAAACTGCTTAGGGTAGAAAGACTTAGCTTGCTAATAAACTAATACAGCTTCTTTAGCTTCATAAAAATACATGGACACTCCTGAGGGATAGGACTAGGAGTAGGATTAGGATTTCATCCTTAGGACTGAAAGATTCTTGTGTCCCACTTGGTTTGTTAGGACAGTTTTATGCAGTTGTAATTTAATAAAGAAATTTGCCTCAAAGCATGTGCAGTGTTCAGAGCTGCATATTCACCAAGTGATAGGGTAAAGCTCCAGAACTCCTTGTGCCTGCTCTGGCTATAGATCCCTTGTTTTGTTCTTGGCTCATTGTAAATTAAACCTGGATAATGATCTGAACAAGAGATGGGAAAGGGAAACAAAAGAGGACCAATGCAAATCTGTGTTGCCAGTAAACCTCATGGAAGAAAATAAGGAGGATAGCATGTATAACAGAAAATTATAAGCGCAAAAATGTTTGTAACATTTGCTAATGAGTAAAATAAACGTGAATGCTGGAGAAGCAAGCAGTGCCAGTTACTGGAGTCTTTTTACCCACAGTGCTGGGGTGTAAAGTTGCACTTTCAGCATGTTTACACTTTGGTCCCCTTGTTAAATGATTCAGTAATTGTCGTCGTCCACAGGCTGATTTTTAAATGTCGAACAGAACAAGAAACAGTGAGGAATCCTCCAGTCTTTTCTCATAACTAAAGTCTCCCGGCTCTGGTGGGGGAATCTGCTCTAATGAGAATAATGAGCCGTGTGCGGGGGAGCGGCACTGCACCCGGCAGCGGCTGTGCAGCCCCGGCGGGGGTCAGCTGGGATGGGATATATGGGATCGGATATATGGGATCCGATATATGGGATATGGGATCGGATATATGGGATGGGAGCAGCCGTGGGCCGGCAGGTGGCAGAGCGAAGTGGGCAGGGATTTCTCTCAGCCAATAGTAGAAGCTGTCTTTCAGCTCGATCTGCATCGCCGACTTTCTATGAGGTTGGGTTCGGTTTTTTTTTTCTTTTTTTATTTCCCTTTCCGCTTTTCCTTTCACTATCAGGAAGGCTGGCGGTGTGGGGTGCCGATGGGGCGCCTCTGGCCAGCCCCACATCTGCGGCACGGCTGCCAGCCAGTGACAATCAGCGGGAGGAGGAACGTGTGTGGAAGGGACCGGCTCGGGGGCACTGATTGTGCTGTTGCTGCCGGAGACTTTTGAAAATGGCAGTTCTGCCTTGAGGATATTTTCATATTCTACTGATTGCAGGTTTGGTTTGTTGGTGTGGGTATCTTTTTTTTTTTTTTTTGACTTGAAGGTATCAGTTTGCTCTTGAAGCTGTGACTTTCATTTGTTTATTTATTTATTTACTGGATTTATTTTATGGCTAATGTAAGTTAAATTACCTACTGGCATTTTCTGTTCAAACTAATGCTGTTTTTGTTGGAAGAGGAGACTGTCTCAGACTACCAAAGTCTGCTTCCAAATAAGCACTACTTCCTACTTTGCAGGATAAAGCCATATAAATTTGTGGATAATAACATTCTGTGGATAAGAATTTGCCTGTCTTTTTGTCCTTGTTGCTGTGCCAGTTAGCAGATACCTCTGCTTTGATCTTTGCTCCTTGTGAGACGTACAAGCAAGGTGTTGTTATTTTGTTTGCTAGTTAAAATGCAGGCAAGATGACTATTTAAGAGATTATTCAGTCTATGTGTGTAGTTCCACATATTGTGGAATTGTGACATTTGGCCAGTGGCTTTTTCCTGCTAAAGCAAGTTTAGGTAGAACTGAATTCCATGCAATTAAGTATTAGTCATGCTACTGTTTGATAATGCATATTAGAAATATTTCATGGTGCAGGCTAGTGGTTCTTTGTCTCAGATAAGTACTTTGTAGTGCTGATACAGGAAGCTTGTGTTTGAAAATAAGTGGCTATTATCAAATAAGGGTTTTGGTTGGAAAAATAATATAATAGTCATGTGTCAGTATTCACTTTCCATAAGACATAAATCAAATGGGCTAGTTCATAGGACAGTGAAGAAATTCAACCTTGTTCTGTGTTCTGCATATAACTGAGGCCAAGATTTTAGAAACAATCCACAACAATTTTGTGTGCATTTGTAATTTTGTCCCAGTTTTCCTGATATTTGGAGTATAAAGTTTCAAAGGTACCAAATATTCACAGCTGTAGTCAGATTTAACTAATTCAGACTTCGTCTGCTAATCACTGAATACTGTGTTGAGTAATTGCTCACATCCTGGATATTAGTCCTAAATTAGGATTTTTATCTATTTTAGAAACCAAAATTGTTTCTTAACAACTTCAGAGTTATCTGTCAAATAGAATGAAACTTCATGTCTGAAGCTGAAGGTCACTTACAAGGAGCTTGAGCTTTCTGTGGGATTGTGTTTTTCCCAGAAACCTACTGTCATCATTAGTCACACCTCAGTTTTTACTGGGACAGTACTGTGCCATTTGAAACTTTTTCTAGCTGTCAAGTAAAAGATGACCTTAACCTGTTGAAGAGTTTATCAGTCAACCTAATACTTACAAAGACTGAGCACATAACATGGTTATTATTTAAAGTTGTATTTTAAGCACTGAAATTACCTTACTAAATGATCTTCCATAAAGCTGCAATTATAGTTTCTACCCAGTGACTATGTAGGAATGTGCTAGAAGTGTTCCTTATTTTCCTTAGTGATGACACAAACTCTGTGGGGACTCCTACAGTAAAGTTTTGATGTTTTGATTGCCAAACTCCATGGTCTCAACAGAACCATCTCCAGGCACAGGATAATATTATGCATCGTGTTTCCTTGATTCAGGGTCCTTTTGTGCTGCAGCCCATGTGTGCTGTGATGGCAAGCCTGTTGTTGGGTGGGGGATCACATTTTGTGGATTTCTCTGGAAGTTCTTCCTGAGCCTGTGAAGCAGCATCTCTATAGGTCCCCTGGAGTCCCTTCACTGTGACCATGCTGCAGAGTTTACCTTTAAGGAGCGAGGCTTTCAGACCTGCAGTGCTTTTCAGACTGAGACCCTGAGAGGCTGGAGCTGGAAACTGAGGGATTTCATTGGAGAGCGAGGGCTGGTGCCTCTGTACTCTCAGCTGGGCCCTTTCTTGTGGGCACTTACCCTGAAAAAATGTTCCTGCCAAGGGCCTTGGAACAAACAGAAAAAAATACTCGAGTTTCAAAAGGAGTAAATTCCCTGTTTAGGTTACAAGGTATCCAAGGCAGCAGAAAACAGTAAATACAGTGAGTTAGCTTACCAGTTTGGGCTCATTAACTGTTTCTCTACAGCTGCGGTGAAGTTTGGTTTTTCTGAAGCTTAAATGTTTCTTGTTTTCCCCTTGTCAGAGATGAAGCAGCATTAGTTAATTACCTGTTTAAATGTGCCTCTGTTCCTGGGAACATCCTGTAAACTTGTTCTGGGATAGTGAATTGCCCTGGGTTCTTGGAGATTACAATGAACCATATTAAAGGTGGCAATGCAATTGATTGGGTGTAGCCATGTTCTGCTGTTTTTGTTTCTTGTGCCAGAAGATGTCCTCTGGGAGTTGTTTAGCCCGGAGAAAAGGAGGCTGAGGGGAGACTTTATTGCTTTCTCCAACTTCTTGAAATTAGGCTGTAGCCAGGGGGGGCATTGGTCTCTTCTCCCAAATAAGTGATGGGACAAGAGGAAGTGGCCGCAAGTTTGCCAGTGGAGGTTTAGATTGGATACTAGGAAAAATTTCTTCACGGAAAGAGTTGTTCTGTATTGGAACAGGCTGCCCAGGGAAGTGGAGGTGCCACAGTCCCTGCAGGTATTTAAAAGATGTTTGGATGTGGCAGCTAGGGACATGGTTTAGTGGCAGACTTGGCAGTGCTGGGTTAAGGCTTGGACTCAGTCTTGGGGTTCTTTTCCAACCTCAGTGATTCTATATGTATCCTAACAGATTTTTTTTCCTTTGTTGCAGCTGCTGTTCAACCTAAGCTCTTTACCCACATTTGACCCCCACTCATAGTGTTTTCACTGTGAAGTTCTTAAAAAAAGCCTCATGCACCAAGATGCTGGCTGGCTGTGATCTGCTTTCCTTGGTGCTGGTGGGAGCGAGTGCAGTTCTGTGCTCAGCTGGCCTCTGTGTGCCTGGAGGAGAACTTCATTCCTTAGGTCAATTACATATTCCCAAGCCTTTCAGGGTGACAAGAAGCTAACACTGTAGGGCTTGCATGGTAGCTTCCCATAGGGAATGCAGACTCAATGAATATTTTATTTTGTGTTTTCTCCACAGGGATTTTGTGCTGACAAAAAGCCCAATGTGATCCTTTGAGTATCCCAAGCTGTTTTCATCTGAGAGGAGAACTTGAGCCATTGCCTTATGCTGGTACTGCAATGCTGAGTTCTAGCTCAACTGCTGTGAAGAATCTCCCTCTGAAGAGGAGGCTCTGTTTTCTGCTGAAACTTGTGTGCTTTGTCAGCTCAGTGTTAATATTTTGTGAATTTTTAATTTACTATGTGGTGATATTTCAATGCCGATGGCCAAACTTGAAAGGTGGAGCTCACATGGCTGAAAAAGAGACTTCAGCTTCAGTCCTAAAGGCCATCATTTTAGCTGATACACACCTGCTTGGTGAAATCAAAGGACATTGGCTGGATAAGCTAAGAAGGTAATTATTAATTTTTTAAAATTATCTCTAGCCAGTTTTAGAGTTTTTAGTAGTAGCTAATGGGACAACAATTCACTGTTCTATTAAACAGCACTTCATTAGAATTGTAATGAAAAAAATTAATCAGCTGGTATTACTTCTTGCATGTCTTGGTCCTGATTCATGGTGGAATTACACACCTACTGTCCTTACACCTTATTTCTAAGTATTTAATTTGGATTTCATAATATATTTTCATATTTCAGTGTGTAAGAGCCAGTTTCCCATTCCTATCACCAGGCTGTGTCTCTGTATTCAGAGCTAAGGATCCAGAAGTAAGGCAGTGATAACTGGTTCTGTGTTTTCCTTTCAGGGAATGGCAAATGGAGAGATCTTTTCAAACTGCCTTATGGTTACTGCAGCCAGATATTGTTTTTATTCTGGGAGATGTTTTCGATGAAGGAAAATGGAGCTCACCTCAGGTATGGCATCATCACCTGTCTCGTTTCAAAAAATGAGGATTTCTTGAAGGAAATGGAAGCAGATTAGGTATGCAAAGCTTTGTTTAATACTGCTTCAGTTGTCCTGTTGGTAGAAGTTTCTAGCTTTACACATAGGAGTTGAAATGTTGTGATTCTCCTTCATTTTTTGGAAGTACCTTGACAGTTTTGTGCCTCCTATAAAACTTACAAAATGCAAACATCTGAGTTTGTGCCTCTGTGTTATAGGCTTGTGATGGGCTGACCCTGGCTGGATGCCCATGCCCAACAAAGCTGCCTTGTCACTTCCGTGCTCAGCTGGAGAGGGGAGAGAAAGTGCAAACTGACCTGCCTCCTTTACTGACCTTGGTGTCTGCAGGGCTCTTCCTCTCACAAATTCTCGCTCCTCTCTCTGGCTGCAGTTGCAGAGTTTCCTTTCTTGCCCCCTCCCTAATTCTGTAATCCCAGCAGCACTGTCAGCCTTGGGATAGTGGTGGGTCCATCTTGGAGCTGGCTGCATTGGCTCTGTGGGACACAGGGCAGACTCCCACAGAATCCACCCCTGCAGCCCCTGCAGTACCAAAACCTTGCCTTGCAAAGCTACCACAAAACCTGTGATGCTGTGGAACAGCACCAATTTCTTCTTCTGTTGTTCTCCTGCAGGCCTGGGCAGATGATGTCAGGAGGTTCCAGAAGATGTTCAGGCATTCCGTTTTTACGGAGCTGGTGGCCATCGCTGGCAATCACGACATCGGATTTCATTACGAGTGAGTCTGTTGGTGCCAGGAGCACACAGGTGCCAAGAATGAAGTGCCAGCCTGCCCACAGTAACTGTGCTGGGTCTGAGGCACCTGTTTTGTGCTTATACAGAAACTTTTTGATCACAATCAAATTAGAAAGGGTTGTAATTTAGAGTAAGGCCTGTGCACAGAACAGGTTTATGCTTCTGTGACCATATGAGGGTTGTTCAGAGCTGATCCTTCTGCACTGACATGGAATCCTTGAAGCTGCTTTTCCTTGCATTGGGCCTCCTCCTTAGGAAGGCACCTGAGCATATTTGCACTCCCTTTAGCACAGGAGAGTGTAAGTGCCCTCACTGTGCTGGTGTTTGCACTGGTGGGAGGGGCTGGAGGACACAAGAGGTGTCAGAGCATCCCTGTGAGTTTCCTGAGTGATTGTGTGAGCTGGATATTGGAGCAGCAAGCTGCATGAATGGTCAGCAAACTGTAAAGCAACTGGGTCAGTTGAGTTCCAATGGCAATTTCTTACTCAGTTGTATTTTTGCTCTGTCACACAGAATGACTCCTTACAAGGTAAATAGATTTGAAAAGATTTTCAACTTCACTTCAGGAAAGCTGATAACTCGGAAAGGAATAAAGTGAGTATATTTAATTTTTTTCTAATGAAATAGTATGGGAATTCTTCACTTAGGGCCTTTTTTTAATCACCTACCTTATGATGTGTTAAACCCCAAACACTTTGTACAAACCTGTACTTTGATATGGACAGGAAGCTGAACTTAGATATTGGAATATGATCCCAATATTACCGGGTGGAACGTGCTTGGGCTGGTCTGACCCTTGCTGCTGTGTAAAGTGTAACAATTTCCTTTTAAATGGAAAAGTACTGTGGAGTCAGAATCCATTTCTCTGGTGTGCCTTTATACTTCCTTGCAGCTGTTAATGAGCCATGGCTGTAAACATAGCAGGATAAAGAAGCATGAACCAACCCCCTCTGTGTTTACAAATCAGGAGTTCCATTAATTTTAATAACTTCTTTAGTCTGCAGAGCTTAACCCTTGTTTGAGGAATTGGGGAACACAGCAGTTGTGTGTCTGCAGTTGTTCCACAAGGTGGGGTTGTGATGCTCGAGCTGGTTTTGGCTTGGAGCAGACCTCGGTGCATTCGTTCTCACAGCTGTGTCTCCGTGGCTGCACTTGGCTGCTGGGTGCTCTGGTACCTCCAGACCGTGCAGGAACCCAAAGAGGGAAGGCACTGCTGGGTTTGTGGAAAGGTCTTGAAGCCTCAGATTCAGGAAGGGAAGGCCCATTGCCACTCTGTGTTTGGCACCTGTGCCCTTGGGTTGTACTCACTCGTGGAAATGTGAGATTCAAAACCTACAGGTTCGCACTGGTTCCCTTAATTAAGAAAACATAAAGGTTTAATTAAAAATTCTGAACAGGTCTGGAAATAGTTGTGTCTATTTTAGGAAGATCTATGAGCTTCAGGAATGCTCAGTATAAAGCTGTTGCTTGTCATGCAGATGTGGGGTCCTCAAGATATGTATTTCAGCTGCTTAAAAAATAATTCTTAAGGAACATCTCCATGTCTCCTTTGATAAAACAGCACGGCAGAATTCTCCTATGCAGTTGCAGATGGCGTGTCTGGTATCCATTAACTGCAATGAGCTGCACTATTAATATGCCTAAAATAAATATTCTGAAATTATAAACTATTTTACAACAAATCTATGGTATAAAAGCAGCTTAATTTGCTAAAAGATAATTAATTTTTGTTTTACTATTGACTAGTATCTCTTAAGTGAAGCATTCAGCTTATTTTTGTTTTTTAAACAGACTGAATTGAACTGGGGATGTATCTCAAGCTGAATGTGTGACTAAATGGATATGAATCTTGTGGCAGAACTTAAGTTTATTTGAAATCTACAGGGAAGCCTTCTATTAAGAATAAAATCCTGTGTTATGTGTCAGAGACTGCAAAGTACAAAACTAAGCTTGTTCAGGGGAGTCACCCAAATGCAGTGCTGTTCAGCTTTTCAGTTGTTCTGAAGAAATTCAGTGTCTCAAATGCTGTCTCTGAGGTCTAAACTGGGTGGGGAGAGAAGCAAGTTCTCCTTTCCCTCACAATTTAGTTTAGTGATGAACTTCTAACATTCCACTAGAATACAACTTAAGTATCTATTAAATATAAAAAAATCTTTAGTGTAAGCATGAAGCATAAGCTACATTGTACAGCCTAATCAGCAACTGCATAAAGGAGCCAACCAGGCAGAGACATGGCTGTGGTACAGATACTCAGAGGAGGATTTGGAACACCTGATTTCAGGAGCTGTTACATTCTGCTGCTTTGTTGAGCTATGTCCAACTCAGGAACACTTGCATTTTATAAAATGAAGTTTATCCCACACCTGTGAATGAACAACAAATGCCTTCCTGTCCTCCCCACTTCTCTTTGCCCACCCCCTGGTATTTTCCAGCTTTGTCCTAGTGAACAGTGTAGCCATGGAGGGTGATGGCTGTGCTGTCTGCCGTACCTCAGAGGCAAAACTTGTGGCACTTTCTCACAAACTGAATTGCTCCCAGCAGGTAAGAGATTATTAAAGATCTGATTACAACCAGAGACTCCTCTGCCACCATGGGAATGCTGATACTGTAGCACAGCCAGCATACAACCAGACTGTCCTGAAAAAAATCTGCTTCCGATTTACAGTGCAACTTGTTAGCCAGTCTTTCTCCCCTCATATCCCTCTCAACCATATTTACTTAACTATTAACAGTGTTGCTTAGCACCAATGGTGTCAACTTCCTTGTCAGTGCTGCCAACAGAGTGTCATTTCCTCTGTTCCCAGAAATGGCAGTTCTGTAACCCTCCCTTTGACTCCAGATACATAATCCTGCATTTATATTTATGGATATTATTCTGTTTTATACCCTTCAAGCATGTTCTTTTAGATTCCTTATTCTACTGCAATCCTTTCCTTGTACCCTAGTAGTGTTTTAATTGTATTTTTTCATCATATCAAATTGCTTCTTGTATTTCCTTCCTCTTCCCTTTTCCATAGGCTGACAGGATGCACAGTAGGCAGCATGAGTGACTGGGCTGGCAGTCAATCAGGAAACCAGCTCCCAGTGGAAAAACTGCCAGACTCTATCTCCCCATGGCTGCCCTCAAACTCCTTTGCCTTGTTGGTGCAGAGATCCTGCTGCTGCTGCTTTCTGCCGCTGATGAAGCTCAAAAGTACACACTAAAGCAGCACAGAATCTGAAAAATATAAAAGCTAAAGCTTAAGGCATCACAGTCAGAAATGTATTTACAGCATGTACAGAATGGGGAGTTTCACCAGTCCACAGTAAAACACTTAGGAGTTCATTCAGTGGGTAGAATAACTGAGCTGAACTGCTTAACAAAAACCAAATCCAACAACCCCACCCTCCCTAACCCCTTAAAGCCTAACTCTTCTTTAATTACTGTCACCCCTTCTATGGCTTAATTTTGTTCACAGAAACCAAATCACTCCAACAAAAGATGCAGTGATGTGGAAAAGCTTCCAGCTTCAGAACCCATCCTTTTACAGGTGTGTTAGAGGTGAGGTGAGGCAACATACTGACATGTTGTTTTTGTGGATATATTACTGTTGCAGAAAGGCTGGATCACTAACAACCAATCCTTGCTTTTAATTACTCCCAGCATTATCCTCTCTATCGGAAAAGTGATGCTGAATGCACTGGAGAAGATTCTGCTCCTCCAGAGGAGAAAAACATCCCCTTTAAAGAGAAGTATGATGTGCTGTCTCAAGAGGCATCACAAAAGGTTTGATTTCTTGGGAACTTGAGTGGCAGTGGGTGGGTGAGAGGGGGACATGACTGTAGATATAAATAGGTTAAAAAATTGTGGTAAGGCTGTTGGCTGAGACAAACAGAGCACAGCTGCTGCTGTCTAATGAGGCCTGGGAGAGGCTGCTTGTTAGAGCTGCTCCCCTGAGAATCCTGACCAATCCTGGCCTTGGTCCTGCCAGGTTTCCCAGGTACAGCTCCTAAGTCTTGGGACTCTTAAATCTGCTGTGCTGCCATTACCTCCACTTCAGCATTCCGTACTGTGTAAATTATTGACACACCTGGTGTGAAGCCACAGTTTTCCAACACTTTGAAAGCATTATTTCTGCTGAATTAGTAACTACAAAAAAATGTAAAGTATTCCCTTAAAACTCAATGATCATTGTTTTTTTCCTTCTGCATAAATGTCTTCACTCAAAGATTGTCATTACAAGATTCCTCCTTAGACAAGAAAACAGCATTGCTTTACTAAACCCAAAGTTTTTCTCTGTGATATCCACAGCATGCTGTTGCCTTTGTTCTGATCTGTATGAAAAAAAAAAAGCCCAGTACTTGGGATCAGGGGCTAAATGGGTTTCATTGATATTGCAATACCAACAGACTTCTTACTGGAAAACAGAAGTTTACAGAAATAACTCTGTAAGAATATGAGAATTGCCATAATGTTCAAAGGAAAAAAAGGAGTTTTTAAGTTCAATTTCTTTTTAGCTGTGACATAATTTTTGTGCTTTATCATTTTGTGTTCTAGCTGCTATGGTGGTTTCAGCCCCGTTTGATTCTCAGTGGGCACACTCATAGTGCTTGTGAAGTGCTGCATGCAGGGAAAATTCCAGAAATCAGTGTCCCATCATTCAGTTGGAGGAATAGAAACAATCCTAGTTTCATCATGGTAAGTTTTAATTTTTTTTTTATTTTTGTCAGATAACTTTCATAGATAAATCAACATGGCAGTCAGCTATATTTTAAAACTGATTCTACCTGTAAAAACGAAAAATAATAAAAAAAAAACTGCCTACCCACCCAACCCACTCAGTACACTGCATCCACTTTATAAAGTACATCTGTGGGAGCCACATGTTCCGTGTGGTACAAAGCAACGCTGCTAAAGACCTAATTAGTATCTGGGTACATTTTCTTAGAAAGAGGGTGCACTGTAAACTATTGACTTGTAAAAATAATCAGTATTGTGCACTGAACAGTAGAAAGACCAGTTTGGCTTGGCTGATTTACCAGCTATGAAAACAAGACTGTATCCACCTCAAACCCTTTTGCACGGTGATCATGGTTTTCAAACGTGTGCATTAATGCAGTGAAAGTGTTTGTGACGTGCCCACAGCCTCCTCATTGCCAGTTCACATTTTATACAGTGTGTTGGTTATGCTTGTGCAGGCAGTTCCAGTGCTCAGTATATCCTTAGAGGTAAATCAATTAGTTCCCCAGTTCAAAAATAAAACAGAACTCTTAGAAACTTGGAGTAAGAAGCAAAACCTACGATCTGTTTACAGAGGAGTCTGTGACTTGGAGAGGGAAATCTTTTATGCATGTTTTACTGCTGTTGAGTTTAGGCTGCTTAATACACAGGTAACCCCAAATGTTTAAATTCATTTTATGCAACTGTTAATATGTGTTGTTGAAAGTAGTTCTGTTTATTTCATAGTCCTGAGAGTAGCTGCCTTCAAACTGCACACACACTCTGCACACGCCAGACAGCACATCTTCACTGCAAAACAAGAGGTTGGCTAATTAAAGTGGCATCCTCTTCACTACTGTTTGAACTCTCAGCCTCAATCTGCTGTAAACTTTAATTTAAACTGCAAAGTAAAGCCAAAACCCAACAAAGTTCTTTGTTGCTCAAGTTCCTATTCCTAATTTGGATTAGCCAACATGTGTTTTTGCAGCATGTACTGGGTAAGGAGGGGGGCTTGGGGAAGGAAGGGGCACATTCACAAAACCTAACTTTAGCTTGGAAAGGCTCCTTCCAGGTGGATTTGCAGCAGCTAAAGTTAGGCTTCTCTTGAAGGCAGATCAGATGAGGAGCCCAGCTCTTTATGCTAGATGGGAAGATTGGCCTCTGGGCTAGTGTTGGCCTGGTGAATATTCCAGTTAGTGTCCAGCACCACAAGGTATGGACTCTTCAGCCCCCCGGAGAAGGCACTGGTACTAGGAAACTGGCCCCAACCCTTGCCCCCCAACATAGGGATTTAGAAATTGGAGATCTGACAGCTGTGGTGTTCACTCCTGATTCAGAACCCACTGTAACACAGCAAAGTGACAGTCTTCATTTCTTTTCCAGGGCAGCATAACACCAACTGACTTCTCCCTCCAAAAATGCTTCCTTCCATTTGAGAGCAGAGTCTTCACTATCTACTGTGCAGCAGGTGCTCTGCTTGTGATCCTGGTACTAGCTCATGTTCAGCTTCTCACTCCACCGTTTTATTTTGCTCAGCGTTTAATCAGTAAGCATAAAGCAGTATGAAGAGCCAGACATCTGCATTCAGTCACTGAAATACCAAAGCTGAGAACAGTCAAACATCAGACTATATTCATGCCAGCAAATGACCTAATTTGACTGCTAGTCTGAAGGCAGGTTGCATTTACACATACCATAGAAGTCCTATACAGCTGATATGACTACTACAGGATAAATAATTAACTGAAATGAACGTTTCATGCTGTACAAAAATACTGTATTCGACAATCAAATGAGTCCTTTTCCTGCTATAATTTTTGTATCAAATATGTATATTAAAAGTGTAACTGTACATTATGTAAATCCTATAGCCTCATCACTTGTCTGCACTTGTGTCTTACCCTGGTGGAGGCTGAATCTTGCAAACTGGAAATGCTTCTCTGTTTTATTGCTGCATGGCCCTTCAAATGTCATACTTGTGTTTGTTAGGGTCAGGCAGAATCTGGATGCATCAGCACTGAGAGATGCAGATTTCCATAACCTTTTTAGTGTTGTGTGTAAGGGACTGTGGTTTGGGACAAGAAATCTTCTGGTTCCTGACACAGTAAATTGTTAGCTGACTATAAGTTGCAGTTATCCATCTACCAGACAACACGGGTAAGAAAAGCTCGAGGATCCAGTTTGCTGATACACACTTGAAAACTGCTTTAAAAAAAATTAGGGTGACACCTCAAGCTGCTGCTTTCAAAAAGATGTGCTATGATGAGCTTAAAAAAGAGGGCCCTGTTGCATCCCAGAGATCTGTGGTGAGGGGCCCTCCAGTTGCCAATCTCCTGCAAGAAGGAAGGTCAAATACAGCTGCAGTAACATTATCCTATGCCTCAGCCCTCAGTCTACAGCCAGGGATAGGAATGCACCTTATTTTACATTCCACAAGCTCCCTTGACTTTAGGGTAGTGTCACATTTTGAATTGCGCCAGCTCCTCTGTGGGGAGGCAGAGGCCACCAGCTGTGCCACAAAGACAAATCTGAGTTCAGTGTCTCCAGTGTGTGGGGGCAGGTGGGACAAGCCTACTGCTGCTCCCCACCCATCCCAGGAAAAAACAGAGGGACTACTTCACACCAGGACCAGTTTTCCTGCTGATGTTCCTGCAGAGGCTGGGAGTTGTAACCTGAACTCCTGGGCTGGGGCTAGCTTAAAAACAAAAAAATACTATCTTTTGTTATTCATTCTATTACTTTCTTTGGCATGACAAATAAGAAAATTCTGTTTACTGTTAGTTTATTCCACCCAGCCTTTCACTTTTTGGGAAATACGAGTAAACTGAACATAGAGATTTCTGGGAAGAGAAAATGGTCATATTATAGCATCTAAAATGGGATTGTTTTATATTCAACTGGAAACAAGTTCTCAATTGGACTGTAGTCTGATTTTAAAAAAGATGACTGATTGGGGTTTATAACTAATAACAATACAGTAAAAAGTTAATAAAACCTGCTGATTTATATGCCAGTGTGGGGACTGTGTTAGCTCTTCATCTCTCCCTAAATTTAAAATGAAGTGGGGGGAATGGTCCGAAGTGTGGTAAAACATTCTATAAAGTAATGTAGTCTAACACTTCTCTAGGTTTCTGTTATTGCAACTGTAATTTTAGACATTTGTACAGGTTATCTTGGACACAGGAAAAGTATATAGTCACAGACATAAAACACCTATGTATAAAATATAAAGCAGTGTTATAGTTACTAAAAAGGACATGCCTTATTGCTACAGCAATTCTTGCTTTTTATATATTGTACTGTACCACAACTTGTTTTGAGAATGTCATTTGCATAAATTATTCAAGTTTGAGAAATATTCACACATTTTGATTCTACAATATTTAAAATAAAATAATTTTCTAATGTGTCTCTTTATTAAAAGAGAAATAAAAATGTCATCTTGTAATTCTCTTAGGCCAGACACAAGGGTTTATACACCTTTTTTTTTTTTTTCTTATCTTCTTTCTCGCTATTTACTTGCACAATGAAAGCCGCTGTTGGTACAAAGATTGAAGAGCTCTATATAATGGTGCTTTACACATTCACAATCGGTCTGTGCAATTGTGAAGTTCTATGAATGACCAAAGAATTACCAAACATATTTTCTAAATATAAAGGACAAAAAAAAAAAAAGAAATAAGAAAGAAAAAGAAAATAAAATAAATCCTTGTTTCCCATTAAAACAACACCAGGTTGCAATTTGGACACTTGAATGAATTCCAATGTTTTAAAGCTGAGACTTCAAAAGAGAAAGGCATGTTTGCTGCAACATCCGGTGACTGTAATACCTTACTTGGAAAGGTAAGTGGTTAATTTGCATAATTTATAATTTTTATACTAAAGAGCATTTTTATATAAACCAGAAAAAAACCCCTAAACTCTACAGATAAAGTTCTTACCTCCAGTCACTGCTGCAGGTAAGGTTGACATCAAGCTGTACAGCGCAATCAAAAACATACTTACATCTTAGCTCATTTTACAGGTACAGCCATAATCAAGGCACAAAGATCTTCTACAAGTATTTTTCTTCAATAAAGTTGTACAAAATAATATTACATTTTACAGTCTGTACAATATAATAAACCAGCAGTAAAACAAAAAATATATATAGGGAGAGGACTGTTGTCCAAGAATGATCAGAACTAAAAGGATCATTTGTGGACAGCACAAAGAACATAAGTGAGGGTGGTAAATCTTCTGCCTAGATGCAACAGGCTGAAAAGTAGCTGTAATTCAAATGCCTGAGGTGTGCAGAGACACTTAGCTCCAAAACCCCAGAAAAATTGCTTTGTCTTCACCGTTCCTCTCATTATCTACTCTACTTCCTGTGCCAGTAACGGCTTAAAAGAGGAGGTCACTTTATCAGTTGACCTGCAACTCAGAAATGCTAAAAACTGTGACAGAGTAATAAATATTGTGGTGCTGCTACATTGTGTGTCTACTTCCTCAACAGTATTTAATAACCTGATACAAAGTGCATTAATCTTTTTTTCACCCATCAAGTACTCTTCAATGTCATGTTAAAAAGGAAACCCACACAGAGGGATAGGTATGACTTCAGTGTCATCCAGATGACATACCGGTCTGAACTGAGGTTAACCCACTGGAAAAAATTTAGCAGGTCACGTTCAGTTTTAAAAAAACAAAAACCTAAGGGAACAGAGGTAGCCAAAGGGCTTAGTGGAATGACGAAGAAGTGGCATGTCAAAATAAAGCACAAAAATAGTCCCAAAAAAGCATGAAGGGAAAATAACCCAAACTTGCTTCAAATCAGCTTTAAGGTTAAACAATTAAAAGTAAACAAAGTGAAGAGACTGACTTTTCTATAGTATATTCTTCCACCCTGTGTGGGGTAGTATCAAGAGAAAGAGTAAGGAGCAAAGAATTTAAAACCACAGGTTCCACGGTGATCCCCCTCACAAGAGTTCGTACTGGCGGAGGTGCATCCTCTGGATGATGTCTCGGCAGTCGTTGAACACTCTGCGGATGTTTTCTGTGTCCACTGCACATGTGAAGTGTGGGTAGCAGTAATGCCGGCCGTCCCCACTCGCTGTACTTATCCTCTGTGCAAACAGGGAGGCAAAAACAAAAAACATCAGGGGCCATGCCGTGAGATGTTTCCCATCTCAGCAGTCTACAGACTTGGGGGAACCAGGAGCCCTGGGAAATCTGTACACATATCACTAAAAAGAGTAAACAAAAGGAAGGGAGGGCTGTGGTCTGGTCAGTCTGAATGACAAATCTGAAATGAAGATTACAAAACATTATGGATACTGGGGTCAGGACAGGAGTCATTAGTGGGAACCACGGATGCCATCCTTAACTGCACAGGCTGTCACCATTTGTGCATCACTTTGCAGCCCAATCTGTGCTGCTGACAGCTGTGCAGCCTGCCATGCAGCTGCCCCAGGAATTGTTTCCTCTTCTTTTTCTGGTGCCATCATGTGGCAAATTCTTGAACTCTTGTTTTACATCAGCAGCACAAAACCAAAAGCCTCCCAGTTGTGGAGCCAGCAGTGGCAGAGAACAGCATTCTACTGCTTCTGCTTCTTGTCTGTGGGCCCCTCAAGTTACCTTCACTTAGAGCACCTATTAAGCCAGCTGAAGGATTGGTGTCATCATTGAGCCCACAATTTGGTGGAATTGTCACCAGAGTGGCTGGGTTCACTTAGAGTAATAAAACATGCAAAAATCTAGTAAACATCAGACCATACAGAATTACATTTTCTCAAGGCTACTGCAAACCTTTTTAGGTTCTAACTTCAAGGATCATTTTTCTCATGGTTATCTTGTTAACATTCCCCAAGATCTTAAAACATATATTCAAAAAATATATCCTAATTTTTGTTCTGTATTACTATAGGACTGACAAATATAAATCCATTCTAGACCATTATCTTGCAGAATATAAACAAAATGTCATGAAAGCAGAAGGTCAGTTTTAGGATAATGATTTCTATAACTATTTTCTAAATTTTATTATAAATTACTCTAGCTAAACAACAGAAGAGTGTTCCATCTCACTCAGGCTACACCATATATTTTTAACACAGGATTTATTTTATGTGTAGGTTTGACCTTTTAAATACCTGAAGCTACAGATATGCAAAACTATAGGCATTTAGAAGCCATGATTTAGACAATTAGATCAACAAGAAATTGCAGACTTTTTCCAGGTAATTTAGGAAATATTCCACATTCAACACTGATTCCACAGGGGTGTTCATACACAGTCTAAAAATTATTTTCTTACCATGTGATTTTCAATACCAAGTTTGATGCTTAACCTCATGAAAAATACTGAGAACTGTCTGCTTGTGTTTATCATGCACTGATTTCACTCATGTCTATGGCAGTAAGCTGCCCACAGTGTCCTGGTTACATACACAGCATGCCATAGGATGTATTTTCAAAATATTAGGGGGCTGGCTGTTTTTTTCATGTGACAGCTCTTGCAGTCCTCTCATTTGAAGATAAATGCAGAATTGTCACCCCTACTCGACACTCACTTTGAAAAGTAGTGTGTTACTCAGCACCAGTTCACAGGGGGAAAAAAATCCCCCGGGACACTGATGAAAGAACATTTGCTTTCCAGGCAGGAATATTTAATACTGACATCCCTACACTGCAGGAGTCAGGATGACATGCAAATTTGAGGAATCCTGGCCTGTGTGTTTGCGCAGCAGCTCCTTCACCTCCCAGATTCAGGTTTTGTAAAACCAGCAGGACAGGAACCAGAGGGGCCATGCCACTGTTCTAACAGAGGTGTATGCACACTGGGGATGTATTCAAACTAAACATCAGCAGCTGGAGAGCCCTGTGTGCAGAACACCAGAACAGGGCTGGGGAGCAGCCTCACCCAGGAGCACAAAGACACACTGCCTCCAGGAAGAGTCTGGGAGAAGAAAGGATGTGCCCAAGCTGAAGGACAGAGGATTTCCCACAAGATACATTTCCAGGACAGGGAAATGCCCTTGCCAGCCCAGCCCTGAGGTGCAGGCCCAAGCCCAGCCACCCCTCCCATGCTGCTCCCTGACTGAAATCCAAGGGATTCCAGCCTGCTGCCCAACCCTGAGGGGCCACAGCCCCCACACCAGCCCTGAAGCCAGGAGCTGACATCTTTTGCCTTTCTAATCTATCCTATGTAGCAATAGTTATTGGAAATGTGGTCAATTTTTAACCTCCTACTAAAATTCCTCAAATTACAGGCTTTTAATTTGCCACTACCATTCCTACAGCCAGGCAGTTTTAAGGGGTGCAGCACCATGGTACTGACTGTCACACATATCCATGGTTTATGCAGACCTACTACCATGATAAAAATCACAATAAAGCATAATAAACACAGGCTTCTCTGAACCATGCCTGAAAATTTAACAGAGTGGGGAAAGGAAAAGGTCATAAATCAAGAAACTTGGGGAAGAAAGTATAAAGCAAAGCCAAGGCAGACACAGGTAGAACATACAGGCCTTTTCTTCCTGGCACCTGGCTAAGGCCATGAGATGTTAGTCTGTATTTGTCCTGTGCCTCTTACCACTTCCTCTCTGAAACCTCAGCCTTTTGTGCCTGACCCCATGGAACTGGAAGTGGCCATTTCCACTTGGCCCTCTCCCACCTTGCCCTCTCCAGGCACGGCCACGTTACTCAGAGCACTGCGCCAGGAGACAGACGTGTTAGAGAGGAGATGCTCTCTGCCAAACCTGCAGCAGTTGCAGGGCAATGAGGGAGAAGCTGCTCTGGCCCCATGCCTGGTGAGCCCCAAGGAGTGTCTGGCAGCTGGCAGATGCTGGCCCCAGCACCAGAGCTTCCCTTGCCCCCAGCACCCACAGGGGTTTCCTGGGGGGCTGCAGTGCCTATGCCCCCTCCCCTCCCTGCTTCACAGGTGGCCTCCTTCTGTAATGCCAGGGAGTCATGGCAGGTGAGGACCTTGCCCTCAATGTGTGTTCTTAAATCATGAAAGTAGATAAAGGTGGGGAGTTTCACCCTAATTTCCCTGTAACTCATCCCTCTCCTTCCAGACTGGATATCATCACCTGCTTCACAGGATTCCAGCATCACCACAGGAGAGATTTGCCTTGAAGGGATTTTTTTTTGGTAACTCTTACATTAACACAGCACAATCTGACATTTCCCCTCAGGATCTGGAAGGCTAAGGCAGCAACTGGAAATCCCCAAAGTGTGAATACAGTAAATTGCTTCTTTCTTGGTGCGTCAGCAGCTGTAAATCCTAACAATGCTCATAAATGCATAATGACGACAAAATTCTTAATTCTAACAACTCAATTTGTTGTCTCAAACACACACATATAGTTTCTACCAGTAGGGCATGATGGATGAGCTTTGGTTCTGGTCTCTGGTGCTGCTCTGCACTGTGGGAACAATTGAGAATGAGTGAAGCCACAAGTGATACTGGATTACACTCTCCGACAGCAGGGCTGGGCTGTGATTGTGTGCCTGACAATCGCTTTCACCTTCAAAATGGAAACTGCACTTCTTCACTCCAGCTATAGAGGAAACCTTAATTGCAAGAAAAATGTGACTAGACAAGGAAACTTTATCATGATGCTTCACTAGAGCCATGACACCAGTCCAAAGGTGAGGTAAACCTCCTAAATGTCAAACCAGAAATCTTATTTAAGCATAAAATCATAAAATCTGCCTTTT